AAAAAAAAGTAATGTCAACACGATCTGTTGTAGCCTACGAAACAGAGAGGAACATTGGAGAATAATTGTCTGATCCCTCTGATGGATCCAACCCAGAGTTGACTCTGGGTTAACTCTGGGTTCAGGGAGAAAACCCATAGTTTCTCTCTTTTTACTCTGGGTTTTCTCCATGAACTCAGAGTAAACCCAGAACCAATTTTGGGTTTGATTTATCAGGGCCTGTGAAGCAATATCAATTCCTTCATCATCCCACAGACATCCTAAAGCAAATGACGAACCTTATCGTGGCAGGACTATGAGGGTTCAGAAAGCAAAGATGAATCCACCTTACCCAAAGAATCTCGCGGAATATGGGGCTTCTTTGGAGCAAGAGAAATATCAACCGATGCTGGACTACTCCGCAGGTCACATGACAGCAAAAGTTTTGCGAGACGAAAATGATGACGTCTCAGTAGTCTTTGGAGATCGAACCATGTTCGAGACCATTCTGCCCAACGTCGAACCTGGGGTAGAGGTTTTTATCGATGCCACGTTTGATTCAGTGCCGGTAAAACTGAATATTTTGCAGATCCTAGAGATTCAAGTGTGCGTGTTTGACCATGTGAGTATCGATTTTCAATTCCTAGGCATCTTCATACACTGTTAAAAAATTACTCCTGAAATTTCAAGAAAAGTGTTCTAATTTTTATCGCCTCATTCACATGAAATTTTCATCTAATTTTCCACTGAAAAATCAGTCCAATTTTATCGAATTCAATGGAATTGGAATTTTCAGGTCCATATGACAATGAAAATCATTAGATTTTTATTTGGCATTTATCTCCCTGAATTTTGAATTGATTGAAGATTCAATCCGATGTGATGTTTCATTTTCTAACTGAGTTTGAGAATTCTAGATTTCATTGAAAAATCAATGTTCGCCTAAGATGGAAAATCCAATTTTCTTGAATTTCCAAGTTCTATAACAAATTCAATGAACGATTTTACCTTAAATTTAATTCAAATTCACAACATTAAGGATTCAAATTCACTTAAATTTCGAAAAATTCCAACAGTGTATTGATTTTTTTGGTCCAGGGAGTTGTAATAGTACATGCTTTGATGGAGAAGAAAACGACAGAAGCGTACAGAGCAGTTTTTAAGTATGTTTTTGAGGAACTGGCACCTGAGTTGAATATGCGAATTAAAGTACACATGGATTTTGAGGAAGCCCCAAGGAATGCCTTCAGAGAAGTTGTACCTGAAGCTATCTTTGAAATGTGTAACTTCCATTTCACTCAGGTTTGTTACTATATCGATTGATCTCTTGAGATTTCGAGTAGTCAAACGCTCGCGTAATCGACAGAGAGAAAAAGTTTCTGATTCCCAGAACGATTCTAGAACACAGAACCGTAGTTCTGAAAACCAGACACTTTTTTTCTGTGTCATGATGTTGCTAAGCCAGTTGAAGATTTATGTGGAGAATGACACACCTGAAACAGGTGTTTTAGGAGTGAAAAAAAAAATGAAATCCATGAAACTCCGAAATCACTTCCAATCCTGAAAATTTATCGACTCAACGAGAGTTGTTGGGGGAGGGAGGGGGGAGGGGATAGTAACATAACCATTTTCCGCCGAGCCGTCAGACAACTTCCCCGGAAAAATTCCCTATTGGCTTCAACGTTCTACATGGAACTCACAAATTTTAGTGTTATTTTTCAATAGGTATATTTCAAATGTTATACTTCGAAAAGGTAAATTCATCTCCTCACTCACATTCTGTTGATTTCAAATAGAAATTCCTGAATGACAATTTCGCTCTGCGGCTCTCTCGATTCTACAATAATTTTTCGCGGGATTTTATTTCCATGTATAATCGTGTCACTTTTCTCTTTCCATTTTCAAGGCTGTAGTAAAACAGGCCTATAAGAAGAAAGCATTGAAGAGAGAGAGGAAAAGCAAGGTGAACAAAGGAAAGAATGAACAAGAAAGTAAGAACAAGAAGAAAAATAAGAAGAATGAGAGAGAAATTAAAGTTGCACAGGGAGTGCAAAGAATCATCACTCTGTTACTGGCTCTCGCATTTATGCCCGCGAAGTTGATCGAAACGCTGTTTACGAAAATTAAGAGTGAGATAAAGGACAAGGACGTGGAAAATCGAATGAAGAAATTTCTTGATTATTTCAATAAACAGTGGATCAGGAGACGTCCCCCCTCAGAATGGTCTGTTTACAAAACTCCTCGGCGAACTAATAATGCAGCCGAATCGTGGAATCGAACTCTGCACCAAAAGATCGGCCATAAACCAGGGCCATGGGAATTCACTAGTAATTTCATTCATTTTCGCCTTCTGCACACTCGGAAAAAAATGAGTCGGTGTTTCCCCTCAAATCCACCGATAGAGCGCGTCTCGGCTGACAAAAACGAGTGTTATCACTTAGAGAATCGAAATTTACCCCCCCACTGATAAATTTTAGGGGAAACACCATTTTATTTATTTTTCCTATCTTCATTTTAATACTCATTGATATTTCTGGCCTCTATAGTGACCCTTCTAACCCCTATTTTGACCGTTATTCATTTCTTCCCACTCATTTCAAGGGTTGAGATTATTCGTGGGTTGAAATCTCCACGTTATTCCACAAGACTCGTGACTCATTTCGCGCACTATTGAAAATTGTAGTCTGGAATTTCCGGTACACTTTTCTTAATTTTTTTTCGCATTGAACTTTCACGGAAATTTCAAGGAATTTCGTCATTGAAAATTCAAAATTTCCTGGAAAAGTCAGTGATAACTATAAATTCTAGTTCCATTCGTCTCTGAAAATTAATGGAAAACCAAAAAATTCCAGATAACATCTACTTGAATGTTCCGGACAGTGACACTGAACATAATTCAGGGGGGAAAAAATCATGAAATTTCAGATTTCACTGCCATTTGGCACTGAATATTCATATTTCAGTGGAAATGTGAATAAATTAAGGATTTTTCGTCTTTATGCTGCTTAAAATTCTGGAATTTCACTGAATTTTCAAGGTTTTTCAATGAGTGTGCTTATTGAAGAGTGATTCATAGCACAATCTTTTCAACATTACTTTGACCTTTTATTAGGAAAACTCACTGATGCGCAGAGTCGTGTAAGGAGCGACTATGACGCAATCGCAAATGGGAACATCCGATACTCAGGTCGTTGGAGTGACGAATTGAACGAGTCGAAACTGAGGATCATCGAGAGGAAATTGAAACGTAAACGATATACTCCCTGGATGGCTCTGCAGCAGACCGGTCATTGTGTCAATTTTGAAAAGAGTAAGATCTAGACTTTGTCTGGCACTTCACTGAGTTGAGATCCTTTTCCCATTTCTATTGCAGAGTATAAGGAATCGAAAGCGAAAATCACAAAGGCAAAAGAAGTTTACGAGTGCAAAAATGATCAGCCACCCGGTAGCCTCAAGATCATTCTGAAGAAACACACCATCTAAATTTTGATTGTGAATAGGATTTGAAATAAGAAGAAAGTTTAAGAATCATCGTCTTCTAGTCGCTTGAAAATTAGGAATTTTGTGGAAAAAAAATGAAAATTTCATGACTTTTCCCTCTTAACGTATTATGGAAGTCTGGGAGAGAGGTTCTGTCAACGATGGATTCACTCTTTTGAAAATTACGAGTCAACTGTCCATGGAATTTCAATTTTTTTTTATAATACGAAGGCAAGGAGCCAGTTGGGGGCTGTAGAGCTTGGGGCTGTAGCGGTATTTTTTGGTGAGGGATTGTGGGGGAGGTCGAGAAATTATCTCTATTCATGGGCGTAACTTCCTATGGAACTCCGGATGAATTTAATTTTTTTGTTTCATATGAAGATGAATTTTATTGATTTATAATTGATTCATAATTACAAACTAATGAATAAAGTAATTCATATTATTTTTGTCAACATATCTAATGAAAAATCTTTTTTTTTTCAAATTATTCCACCTAAATCAAATAGTCATTGACTCCTTGTAGTGGTTGACTCCCGGAGTCGGTTGGGAGTCTGGAAGGGCTTGGGGCTGAGGAAGGCATTTGTCAGAGGAATTGTGAAAGAGGTGAAGAAGTTCATTAGGCTTCTGAAGGGCGGGGGTTTGGGAGGGTGTGTAATAGAGAACCTGTCAAGTAGATAGTTGTAAAATATCTTCTTTGTTTTCTACAAAGATTCCATCTGGAAATTGTTTCAACGCAATATAGTAGGAATGGATGATTCGTTCATCTTACATTAGATTATCAATCTTATTTTTATTTAGTTGATTTTTATATTTCCTTATTTTGGGTGGAAATGCCCAGAAATGTCATTATTCTTGAAGGAATGATTTTATTATTGCATCAGATTTTTTTTTTGGGGAACGAATGAAGAATAAAAAAAAACATGGCTGGACTGTAGAATGAGGCGCCTCATTGTTCCCCCACTGATCGTTAAACCGAGATTAATATTTTTTCACTGGTGATCATTGTAATTAGCTGAAGACAACAATTCATGCTTAGGGCTGCGCACGAGACCGAGACCAGTCTCGGTCTCATCTCGTCTCGTCTCGGTTTTTCGAGACGAGACCGAGACGATACCATTACCACATTTTTCGAGACGAGACCGGACCGATACCGACGGGGAACCGAGAGTCTCGACGAGAGTTTCGGTTTTTTTTTTTCATTTTTTTTTTCATTTTTCTCAGCTATTAATGCATTATTTCTCATGTTTTTAATTTTCGAATTGTCGAAAGGATTACGTATGAACAAATCACTAGAATGCGAATAGACATGTAGGGCCCTCTATGATTCAAGTGTTCAGGTTAACTCGTGAAGTTCTCATCCACCGGTCGTGTTTCTAGCAGGCGAATGTTCAATAATTCAATCACTCGAGTAGGGTATTTCATGTCGGGCTTCCATGGATTGGCAACGAAGACAGAAATTACGTAAAGACTGCAGTTTTGAATTGAAGCAACCAAAACAGCAATAATCAGTAAATTGTGAAAAGTATCACTCTTTTAAAATGTCTTCTAGTGAGGATAGTAGCGATAGTCCTCCGCCGAAAAAATCACATGTATCAACGACTCATAACCTTGAAGGGGCAACTGTTGGAGAATGTGCTTCAGTCAGGGATCAGGTTCCAAAAGGAAAAAAGGAGACTGGATCAAAATTTAGAGCTTATTATGATTTCGAAGTGCGTGACAGTAAACCAGTAGGCATTTGCTTGGAATGTAAAAAACGAAGAATCGTAAAGATGATTGGACGTAAAGATGGGAGTACGTCAGGCATGAAAAAACATCTAGAAACTGCACACAAACAAGCATTCAATACTCTCTTCCCAGCGTCAACTCCAGGAAATGTGAATCCAGATCAGAGACTCATAACTGAAATGCATTCAACAGTAAGTAACTGAATTGTTTTATTTTTGTTTTTAACTTCAGAGTGATTCCTCTTTCGAGATGCAAGATTATCGTATTTTTACATTTTCACCACTTCACCACTCATATCAGCTATCGATTACTTTTTTCAAGTCGGCATCTTGGATCATCTCTGAAATGGGAATGAAAATAGCGAATTATGTTTTTCATTATTTCAATAGTCTCTGGATCCATTGCTAATCTGACATTCGATTGAATTCATGTCCCTTCATTAGCCACTCGATTGAGGGTGGAAATTCATTCCAGTTTTTTTTTCCAGAAACCCATGTCTCCTGGCGAGTGGGAAGTGGAGATTGTCAACTTCCTTGCTAAAAAACGTTTGCCTCTCAGTTTTTTTGATGACCCACAGTCCCAGAAGTTCTTTACCAAACTCAATCCAGATGTCAAAATGCCTAAACGAGACACTGCCAAAAGAATGGTCATACGTCAGCATGCCAAGAGAGAGGAGAAAATTAAAACTCTTCTCCATCACAATTCATCTAAAGTCTCATTCACAATAGATGTATGGACGAGTTTTAATGGGAGATCTTATTATGGAATTACAATTCATTATGTCGGAAATGACTGGAAAATTCATTCACTAGTTCTTGATTTTGTCCCGGCCCGAGGATCTCATACTGGTAAAGCAATCGCAAAGATATTCTTCGACACTTTGAATGAATTTGATCTCCAAGGGAAAGTTCAAGGCATCACCGTTGATAACGCTTCTGCGAATACGACCTTCATGCTAGAGCTTGGAGTGTTGATGAATGACGCAGGTTATTCGTTCGATAATATTAATCAGCATTTCAGATGTGGTGCCCACATTCTCGCTCTGGGTGTACAAAATACATTGTCATTGATAAGAGTACAAGCTACGAAAGACGACGGGGACTCTCCAGTTGAGCAAAATTCGATTGACAACTCAGATTCTGATAATCCTTCCGACTCATCCAATGAGTCTTCAGATGAAGAATCCGAGGATGAGGTTTTCTCTGAATTAAGTCCTGGTACAGCTGTTATCAAATTGAGAAATACTTTCAAAAAAATAAAAAAAACAGAGAAAATTCAGAATATGCTGAGAAGTTTTTGCAATGCTGCTGGGATTAAGTATCTGAAACCTCCTTTGGATGTGAGCACGAGGTGGGGAAGCACGGACTATATGATCAATGCAGCATTGAGGATGAAGAAAGGCTTAAATTTGTTGTGGTCTGAGTGTGAAGAAGTCGCGAGTTTGAAGATGAGTGAAGACGAGTGGATCTTATTGACACGGATTCATGA